GGGGCGGGGGGGGGGGGCATGGTATTAATGCCCATGGTTTAGGTTCATGTAAATGCAATGGTCAGGTGTCTGCAATTTGTTTTGCCTTAGAGTGTATGATGACATGTAAGAATAAATGAAGAAAACATTGCTACACCAGGAACACAAGGTGTGAAGGCATCTTCCCTTCCTCTAATAAACTGGGGGAACATGAACTGCTGCAATAGTCTTCTAAATGCAGCTACAGATAGAAGGGTCGCACACAGGTTTAAGCCTTTGCTGTTTTTCTCATCAACTGTTTATTAATTGCAATGGCTCACTGGAAAACACCCATATATTCATTGCAATTTCTGATGTGTTCTTTCAGAAATCCCTACATGGCAAGACTGTTACAAGCCATGCGCAAGTCATTCATATGGTGTGCTTTCATCAGGCCTTGTATTGCCAGCCTTCCTTATGAATAACAGGTTTGCTGAAACTTAAGTCCTGTAACAGGCCAGCGGAATGGAATACTCTTCAATAAAGTTGAACATACCTACACACAAGTGTAAGAGATTACCCTACTTTCATCTTGAAAAGAAAAAAAAAGTCTCTGTAGTGTAGATTGATGCTTTACAGCACGATTGTTTATGAAGCACGGCAGGAGGAAGCACAGTTCCAGGAGAAAAGTAAGAATTTCATATAGAAGTGGGCTTTCAGTAATGTTAAACACAGACATTAAGAGAATATGGAAGTAATTAGAAGACAATTGTCTAGGAAGATTTTCATCTTTAGGTTAAAAGAAAGCTTTGCTATTTGGGCATTTATAAAGCTGTGAAATTTCACACTTGTTTTCTCACACTTAATCCTACTCCAATGCAAAAGCACTTCCAGACACCGACTTGAGGTCTAAAGCGAACTTCACATCTCTTGGGCACAAACTGCCGTTTCCACAAAATGTAAGAATGTAAAACCCTGAAATAACATTTTCATTCCATCTACTCTCCTATGACCCTGTTTAAGCCGAAGGATAATATTCTTTTTGTGGATTTCTTCTACATAGTAAAGTAGGTTCAATGCCAAGTTCACCATTAACCGATATTTCAGAAAGTGGCAGAGATGAGTTTGCATAAGTAGGCTGGACAGGAAGTTTGGTAAAATAATCAGAACATCTTAAATCAAACTATCCTTCCATTTAGAACTATTTTATTTTATTAAGATTGCAGTAAATGCAATTCAGCCTATTTACGTTTAGTTTAATTTCCTTTAATAGTATCAAGGGGCATGTAATGACACTTTTCAATCCAGCTGTGTTTTGCCAGATCAGGTGACAAGCTCTTATCATTGAATATCTGATGACATTGCAAGTTGACTAGTCTCTGGGCAAACGATCAACTGTACAGGTTAGAAAACCTGTCCTGATTCTAAAGCTGGCCCTACATTATGGGAAGAACTTATTAAAACTAGAGTAGACAGAACGTGGAGAAGTTGTGCATCAGCTTCTAATTTCCGCTTGCTTTCATTAGTCTTTAAAAATGAAAGCTAGAAGCTGATTGGTTGCCATGCACACTGCTCCAGATTTTGCAAATTCCCCTCTATGCGTTTTTTTTCTCATTCAGCCCATGGTTTTTAAAGCTCGGCCACGTCCTGCTGACTGATTCAACCAGTGTATGGCCCTTGAATTTTTTTTATCGAATTTTGTCAAAGGAGTAGTGCCAAAAATTGTCAGCCGAACATTGACTGCAGCCATTCAGCATGAGTCGAGGAATCTCCCCTGCTAGCTATGGTGTTCTGATAGCCAGCGCCTACCACTTTAACAATCACTGTCTGCAGCCAACTGGCTGCAGTCACTGTGACCTGGCTCCCTCCTCATGACTCTCAGCTGTCCTGCTGATATGGACACAATTTGAGAAGTGGTTGTGCTCTGCTTCCCTCTTGATTGCTTTGCGGATCATTTTTTAGACTGTATGGTCTGAGGGCAGTAAAACTGTGCATTGTGTCTGTGGATGGCATATAAAGCAAACTTTCAAACACAATTTGCTTGAAGATCATGTTGGAAGGATTTGTATAGGACTGACCCACGATTAACTTAAAATCTCCCTTTCTAGAGCATGTCCCAGCAATATAGATATTTTATGTTCCCATCGCAAAAACAACCATTATTACTCTATCATCCCCAGGCTCGTACAATTCTTGAAGGGGCAGCTGCTGGGAGGAGAGATCAGCAGGGTGTCTTAGGTCAGTTCCTACTGACATACCATGGCACCCAGATCGCAATGAACCAGCAGCTACACGTGGTGCATGGACAAGCTCTTGGGAATCAAATAGACAGTATTGTTTTGCTGGGAGATAAATCAGTATAGCCATGTGAAGATGGACAGAGAGAGGGGGAGATAAGCAGAGTACTTTAGTCCAGCAGAGAAAATCCAAAGCAGGGTTTGTGACGGTAACGAGGTCTGGGCAGCCCAAAATAAATTAGTAGACCCCATCGTCGCCTTAGTTTGATGGAATTTGCACTGCAAGACAAAATTAAATCAGACTGCCCATTAAACATATGTGTTTTTGTTTTGTTTTGACAGTCTTTAAATTCCAAAGAGATGCTTATCAGGCATGTGTTATAGCTTTTTATGGCCCACTCCTAATGGGGTACAATAAAGCACTAAGTGACAGCCAAAACACTTGGCAGATCCTAGTCAATACACATAGATGGCCTGGACTGATAAAGGGCCAGATGACCCTTAACTAGCCCTACCAATAAAACTAGTTTCCAAATTGCACCCTGCATTCATAACTTTGGACCTGGGGGGGCGATACATTAACAATGAATATTATACAGTATATAGATGTATCATCAGGTAACCCTGAACACAGACATACCAAGCACTTCTGGCTTAAGAGGTACAGAAGGCCAAAGACACACATTAGCCCTTCTGAGGAAGACATACATCACTGGTATGTCCCACCCTGTTACGCCCCCTTGGGTCTTTTCTGACTGGGTGTGGAGGCTGGCTTACTGACACGCTCTAGAGCCTTCGTTCTCAACTGGTGGGTCGTGACCCAAAAGTGGGTCGCGACCCCATGTCCAGTGGGTCACCAGATGCCTTCCACTTTTCTAGGTGAGCCTCCCCCTAGAGAAGTACAGTCAGTTCTCACACCGGGCAGCCATTTAAAAATATGATGCCCGGTGCCGAGTGTCGACTTGAGATGGGGTGAGGTGGGGCTATGGCCGCAAGGGAGCTCCATTCATAAGTGCATTGCTTAGAGCTCATCACATTGTGGCTCCCGACACCTCTACAGGGCACGCACGAGAGCTTTACAAGCAATACACATATGGATGGGGCATCATCACAGCACAGCAGACCACACTGGACCCCAGCTTGAGGATCCGCTCTAATTTCCTTAATGGAAACCCAAACGCACCTCCCACCCACAGTTCGATTGCCTGCACCGGAAAGCGCAGTACCGCGACATGGAACATTGCAGTGCAACTTGGGTCGCGACTTAATGACCAAGGACAAATGTGGGTCCTGAGGTTACCCAGGTTGAGAACCACTGCTCTAGAGGACCCCCATAAAGCTGCTACAGGAGGCAGCCAAATCTCTCATGCACTATCAAGAAAAGAGTATCTGCCAAGAGACTTGTTTTAAGAGAGCCAATACCAGATCCATTCCATAGAACCCAGGACTTTGCCAAGCATTTCATTTATTTTTGCTTCTTGTTTTTACGGTTGTATTATTTGTCTCTTTTCTGTAACATTTTTTTTCTGTATATTGTTCTGTACCTTTTGCTTTATTAAAAATGATCCTTTAAAATCATTAAGCTTATCTCCATGCTCTAAATAAGAACTTAAAGAATTCTTGTCTCTGAAGACCGCTACCATATTGTAAAACCTGTTATATTCCTGTCTGGGGGGACAGTGAGCATCAAAGGTATTCGCTTGAAGTAAGAATTGTCACAGCATTTGCTGGGGATGGTGTGCTTCCATTATAGCATGTGGTGGGAGCTCTTATTTGTGTGTTTGAAGGGTTAAGTTAAACAACCCCAGTGAGAATCACTCTCATTCGGCTGGCCTTAGATTGCTGTCCTGCAAGCTAGAAAATCTGTCAAGGGTGACGCTGAGAGTGGTATCGTCATGTATTGTTGGCAGCATGATAAGATCGGAACCGCGTATCATCACATATTGATGGCAATACAGTGGGATTGGACCTGCCGTTCGTCACAGGGCCGACAATACTACATTGGGATTTCAATGCAGCAGAAGCACTGTGTTGTCATCTCAATCAGGAAGCTAAAGGAGCATGTATTGCAGATATGCACAGCATATTATCTTTTTTACTAATTTGCCCAGACATTTCCCCTAATTGTATTTCTACTTTTGCAAATTGGGATAGCAACTACTTGCTATATAATATATATACAAATACAATTAGGGGAAATGTCTGGGCAAATTAGTAAAAAAGATAATATGCTGTGCATATCTGCAATACATGCTCCTTTAGCTTCCTGATTGAGATGACAACACAGTGCTTCTGCTGCATTGAAATCCCAAGTAGTATACATCCCAAGTAGTAGTATACATATACACACACACACACACACACACACACACACACACACAATATATTATATGTTACATGTTCTCATTCAGATAGCATTACATAAATAAATAAATATAAAAACTGAATTTTCCTCTGCTATACAAGGGGAGTAGGGAGTTATTGTTTACCATAATTAACCCTGTCTGTACAATGCTGGCAGCTCTCTATCATTTGTTAACTAGATTTGAACACTGTTTGAAATCATTCAGTGTAGCTTGCAGCCTGCTCCAAAGAAAAATCTAAAAGGTAAGATTTTTAAAATTTTGATTTTAGGTATGCTGTGTGAATGGGAACAAACATATAGTGGGGTTTTCTGAAATTTGACAAATGTGGAAATACATTTTTAAGTTTCTTTACTGTATGCCTCAAGACAAGGGGTTTGCTGTTGAAGAGTAGATGAGAGAATCCTGAGGCATACATTTATTGGACATGCTCTCCGATAGTTTTACTATTAAACCATACGTCAACATACTTATTAAATCTGTCTGAAAAAAGCTCTTTCAGATTTTATGAGAAGCACAGCATAGATCTGGCTTTTTTGCGGTCTCTCCTACCTGTCAGCTAGCTCTGGCTTTCTTCTCATTTCATAAAAAATAAACTCTAAATCATACATACATTTATCTTTGATTACTTTTGGAGGTAATAAATGCCATCATGTTCTGGATACATGTTTCACTTTTCCACAGAACCCAGCTATCCAGATAGGATAAAGATTATCAAATTCTCTGCATAAATGAAGGGAATTACATTGGTGTATTGCAGAGAAAATGATATCACAAACACAATCCTTAGTGAAAGGATTGGTATTGAAATACATAGAATGTATGTGCCAGGTCTGTTTGCCATCTAAACTGGGCAGCGTTAATCTTTTTGTCTAGTGTTGCCTTTAAAGCCTAACTGAACTTTCAGTTTAAAATCAGCAAAATATATTTCAGATACATGAAAGCAAACGTCTCAAGGCCCAATCACAACAGCATGATCTGCTGCTGTGTGGTAAACACACAAGTATTAAGGCAGTTAATTTGTTGTGTTGGTTTAAAGGCAGTACATTTATTTGAATAGGCTACCGAATGCACCACAAGGGACCAAAAATAATAATTGAGCATTTTCAGACGCTGTGCTGCAACACAAGTGCGCCAGGTAAGTTTGTTGGGATGCCATTCACAATGAAAAATACAGCATAGCACCAGTCTTTATAACCACCCTGCAATAGTGTGTGGCCCTTACTGTTTGTATTCTGTATAAAGCAGCTGCAACAGAGTAAAACAGCAGGGAGAATGAGCTTTGTTGATAGCAGATCTATAGATCTGACTTAGCAGGTGGCATGTCAGATCTCTGCAGAGACACCACTGCTTCCCCACATATAAAGTATAAATAACTACGTATTTTCAAATATCTTCCTTCAAAGATATTTATTGATTTGTATGAAGCAAAAGTGATGACAATGGGTCACCACACTGAGATACCTATTTTAGTATAGGGGTGATTTGAAGGCACCCTTGTTAGCAGTATATGGGTTTCTCTTTTCAACAGATCTTAAAGCACATGTACTCCCTTGTACCAATTGCTGTTACTGTATGCAAATCAGAAAATATCACAACTGGGCTAATGTCAGAAAGGCCACTCAATTTTACATAGAGTTTTATATAAAATTTTAAAGGAGAACTATGGGGTCAGTGTTTTTCCCCATAGTTCTCCTTAGGGTAACGGGAGGAAACCAACTAGCGTCCTCCCGTTACCCTAAGCTCAGTATACCGCGAGCTACAGCTCGCTGTATACTGAGACGCCGCAGCGGATCCCGACGTAGATGACGGGATCCGCCCAGCTGCGTGAGTGACAGCTGGCTCTGCCTATCTAGAGGCAGAGCCAGCTGTACCCGCCCCCTCCCCCGTCCGTTCCGCCAGTCAGCGCTGGCAGATCAGAGCGGGGAGGGGGGAATCCAGCCCCTCCCCTTGTCACGGCAGAGAGCCGTGACAGGATCGAGAGGCGAGCGAACCCGATATGTGTTCGCTCACCTCCCGATCTACTGAGCCGACCTGTGACAGTCTCATTGTCACAGGTCGGCTAGAACTATGAGGTGAGTGAAAAGCACTCACCCAATAGTTCTCCTTTAAATGTTTCTTTTCAGTTGGACTAAGCAAACATTCTGGGCAAAATTGAATCCTCATTCCCCTCATTCGTCAAAACATCCCTCTTTGGAGGTAACCTCTACTGCAGATTGCAATGAATGTGGGGCAGGGGTGTGAACACTTTATTTCTGAATGATCAGTGGTGTGCATATTTTAGACTATGGCGAAACACTTACAGGTAGGGGAGAGAATTCCGACCTGCAAAATCAAGACTCGTCAGAATGGATTGTTCAAATTGCATCCTCTGCCTGTCCTCCTTACCTTTGGATTATTGGCATCAAACAAACCAGTTGAGAGTCCAATCAATAGTGCTGTCTTGCCTTTGGTTTTAACTGGAGAAGCAGATCGGGAACGAGGTGGTAAGGAGTCATCAAATGAAGACTGGGCAGAAACATTAGGGGTAACAACATTATGAGGGAGAGGAACTCTACTGAACAATGCTTTGGGTGTTGTCGAGTTTCCAATATCATTATCTGCAGGGACACAAAACAAAGTAATTACAAAAATGTTTTTTTTTTTTTATTCTTTGTCTTTACTTTTACAGCGAGTACCTAATGTGAGCGTCTTGCTGTGCAGGTTGTGCAGCGATTAACAAGGTAAAACATTATGAGGGCAGGAGCAGTTATTGTCTCCCAGGGGTACCACTAAGTAGACAATTGCCAGATCTGCATAGAAATGGACCATGTATTACTAGCCTTAGTCACCCAGAAGGAAATGTCTGTAAGTTGAAGTGTACTGTAACAGCCATAAAAACGCATGCACAGAGATGGAGCAGTAAAACTGCACTTATATGGCCATGAAGATAACTGACCTTTAGACCTGCAGTCATTATATGACTTTGATGGCCCTCTCTGGACAGTTAAATTTTGTGTAAAGTAAACCCATATGAGTACCTCCAATGATGAATGCTGCCCTCTTGAGGAACCTCTGCTCATCATATTACAGTCACAGTTCCATGGTGATCAATATAAACGTTATGCTTTTTGCTTATCAAACATGGCTGACCCCCGAGTACATATGACTATATTTTATCAGAAGATATAGTTTAGAACAAAGAAAAAAAAACCCCAACTATTTATTCATTTAAAAAGACAAACCGACCCATTCCTTGTTCACTTTCTGAGCAGGCTGTGTCTTGCTGCTCATCTTTCCTTGAAAATTCATGGCCATGCACAGGATGTATTTCTTCCTCACTGAAAGACAGATGGAGGGATAGATCTTAAAAGATTCTCTACAAAATATAATACTATCTAAGAACACAAAAAGATCAAAAACAATGTAATAGCCGAGCTAAATAAGTATATGGCCACCACTACAGTGGACTGTAAATCCTTTATAACATCTTTACAGTGCAAAGTGAGGACACACAATGGGATTTATAAACCATTTGCACAGCGACCAGCTATGTGAATGAGATTACTGCAACTAGGTGGAGCCGAGGAGCATAATTTCCTATGCGTTTTGGCTCCATCTAGTGGCCACAATGTGCTACAAATCTTATTTGCATAGCCGTTTACTGTGTGAATGGATTATAAAATTACCCCATAGACTATGCCTGCATTTCAGAATCTGGCCACATTACTAGCCAGTGACTTGCTCTGCATGAGTACAGTAAACCAGACTTATTCATGGGTTGGCCTTGAAAATCGGTAATCTCCTTGTACTAGTAAGCTGAAAAACAGGATATGTGCCAAATTGTGAAAGATTATACCAGGCCAACAAAAGTGGTGCTCCATTAAAAAAATTGTTTTTTTTAAAAAAAAGACAAAAGAAAGACAAAAGAAAGAATGGCCACCTAAAGTTCTGACAACCTTGCCTGGGGCAGGTGCTAGTTCAGGAGAATAAACTACACTTACTGTGCTAAAGTGAGACACATACTCTGACCAGTACATAGGTAAAATCCTGTCCATATGCATGAAATGGTAGTGGCATGTGCGGGCGCAAAATGCCCACTGACGAATCTTTTAGCAGACCTGCCTAAAAGTGCAAGGGCTATGGAGGACGGAAAGGAAGAGTAGGCAGGAGCAATTGGTACTAGCTTTAACTGGAGGCAACAATAATCAGCTAAAAAAAATTGTGTTTGGTTCACAGCTTGTTCCTGTAAGATTTAACCAGATGCCTCTGTAGCACTTTGCTGCACAACTTAAACAGGAAGATTGTTGCCTAGTCTAGTGACGATCTCTTCATTATAGGTTCCTTTAAATTGACCTTAGACCCAATTGTTTGACACATGTAAATCTAAAAACCACTTTACTAGCTTGAAAAGGAGTACAGGAGTACAGGTTTAGTAACAGGTGTTACTAAAAGCCTCCAGCTTTTAGTAACACCTCAAAATATTTTGCATATTAATAATATTAGTGCTGGGATAATGGCGGAGCTTGAAGTTTAGGGATAGGATGTGGTTAAATGGCATGGGAAATCATACTGCCAGTTTCTTGACTGTTCTAGTGATCCAATGGCTTAACCTGTTGAAGTGATAGACCCTGAACAAATATAGAGATGTAGAATTCTGACTTTCTATGACTTTTGTTTGCTGCATTCTTGCTCTGGGTCACTTACTCAGAATTACTAAAGCCAGACACAGCCAGGCAACTTGCACCAAGGAGGTGGGCAATGGCAGCCTCCATATTTTCTAATAGGTATACTTTAAAAGTTATGTTTCACAAGCAGAAAGTTTCATAGCAAAGGGGGCGTAAAGGTTAACAGTGGCAGCATCAATAACATCTGCAAATACTGCACTTTGTTTATTTTACCATAACACAGATAAAAGGGTGGGAGGTTTTTCTTAGGCTGATAACATTTTATAGCAACTAGGGCTGACAAGGTGGCCAGAGTGAAGAGCACAATATGCTGGGATCTGGCATCCATGTGTGCAAATTCTCAGCAGGGGACCACTAAGGGGTTAAATGGAAATCTGATCCAGGCTCATTCCACATTCCGTCTGCCAGGTATGTTGCACAACTCAGCATGCTTTACAGATTTTTCAGTATCACATAATTGCCATTCATATAAGACAGATATGTAACTGTCATGGATTAAGCTGTAAATGGACTATGTGATAATCTGCAGAGCTGATTGATGGGACTGTGCAATTACTGTACCTTTCTTCTTTGGCTTGTTCATTCCAAACACTCACAGCCTTGACAGGACACTCATCACTTGCATTTCCTTTGGTATCTTCCAGCAATTCAGCCTCCAAATCCTCAGGCTCCTCTGATGTAAACGAAAAAGAACGTTGTATAAAAGTATTGCTATGCAAGCACTTGGAAATTTAAAGCACCTAATGAGCACTATCACTATTTAGCACCCTTTTTCACGGTCACTGCCGAGTACAGATTTAAAGTGACACTAAACTCAGAAGTAATATCTTAAAAAGCATTCAAGTACCTTAACTATTAACAAAAATGTATCTTAATTGTGTTTCACTCGGCTGTAGATCCTCAAATCATCTCTGAATTGGTGCCGACACTGTCCTTCCTTCTGGAGGGTGGCTACTTTTGTACCCTATGTTCCCTGTGTGTGTTGTAAAGTAGCCACCGCTCCAAGCTCGCTCCCGTGATGGGATACAATCTCAATACAAATTAGTAAATATGTCATTGCACTCTATCAATGCAAAAGAACTCCAGAAAGACGCTTTTTTATTGCTTTTCTATCAGCTGAAAATGTCCCTTTGTAATAAACATGATTTCATTTTGACCTGCTACATGGGCCAAGGGATCTCAGATGGCTGAAAACAACTGCAACATTTTGCAATCGTTTGCAGATATCAGGCCTGAGTAGCAACTCAGAATAACTGGTTTTTGTAAAAAAAATGGCTTTCAGATACATTGATTCTCTTTTGATCAATACCACACTAACAGGTCTATTATGATATAGGTATTAAAAAAAAAAAAAGAAGTGTTTATACACAGGACCATCACTGCCATGTCTTCATATGACAAAAACACGTCTATGCTAAGAATTGATAAATCACATAAACCAGCCTGACACATTTTACATCCGAGATTAACCCTTAATGGGGTATTCATTAGCCACATAACTTCACAGTTGAAATAACTTGAAAACATAAAAAAATAAAAGCACAGCACTTACTGTAATACAGAAAACCCCCCAAAAACATTCTCATTTACACATATGGAGTCACCAGATAATGAAATGCATAAATGATTGGAATTTAAACAAACCAAAAGGGTTTATGCAAAGGTGAATGCAATTGCAGTTACAATGGGTGTCAATGGACTGTGGAAAAATACATTAAAAGGTAAGTGCATTCTACATTTCTATAGTACAGGTAAAATCCAGCTCTGTGCCAGAAAATAAAACGCACAAATATTACAGTAGTTATACATTTTGTTGGCAGAAAAGAAACCTCATCTTGCTGGCTATTCTATAGCTGTAAAATCTGTTTTTGTATGTTACCTATAGTTTCTGCTATACTTACATGCACGCTTCAATGTATACAATGTAGGTCAGAGGCAGGGCCCGCCTTAGGCCTTTAGGCGCCCTGTGCGAGAAAGCCTTTACAGCGCCCCTCAGTGACCACACCCCTCAGTGGCCACACCCTTTAGTGGCCACACCCCCGTAACCACACTTATGTCCCCCAATATCCGCACCAATTAAGACTCTTATTTTGTTAAGCCGCAAAGAAACATATTAAAAAGTATGATAAAAATAAAACTTTTATTCAAAGGTATTAAACTTGTAGGCACAATATAAGTATTCTTATCAAATAAACCAACAGAAGGTAAACAATAAATGTCAAACTACAATAGAGTCTATACAAATAAAGTGTCAGGATGTCATGCCGATCCCTTTTTTCAAGTAAGTGCATCTAGAAAAGTAAAAATAGGAAACAGAACACAAAACCCAGACTACATGTAAAATTAATGAATTACTATTTGTCCGAATATACGAAAAATATATTCAGGTGCATAATAATTTGTTTGAGAATGTGCGGCGGCCATGTTGGCCACCAGCGTGTTCTCTGAATGCGTGCCACTATATTGGAGGCAGGGAGCATGACGTTACATGACGCCATGCATGCGTGGCGTCAGGTGACCTCACACGCCGATATTGGCCCCACCATCTTGGTGTATACCTAGATATACACCAAGATGGCGGCGCCCAACACGTGCGGTGTTATATGACGTCAATACCACACTAACAGGTCTATTATGATATAGGTATTAAAAAAAAAAAAAGAAGTGTTTATACACAGGACCATCACTGCCATGTCTTCATATGACAAAAACACGTCTATGCTAAGAATTGATAAATCACATAAACCAGCCTGACACATTTTACATCCGAGATTAACCCTTAATGGGGTATTCATTAGCCACATAACTTCACAGTTGAAATAACTTGAAAACATAAAAAAATAAAAGCACAGCACTTACTGTAATACAGAAAACCCCCCAAAAACATTCTCATTTACACATATGGAGTCACCAGATAATGAAATGCATAAATGATTGGAATTTAAACAAACCAAAAGGGTTTATGCAAAGGTGAATGCAATTGCAGTTACAATGGGTGTCAATGGACTGTGGAAAAATACATTAAAAGGTAAGTGCATTCTACATTTCTATAGTACAGGTAAAATCCAGCTCTGTGCCAGAAAATAAAACGCACAAATATTACAGTAGTTATACATTTTGTTGGCAGAAAAGAAACCTCATCTTGCTGGCTATTCTATAGCTGTAAAATCTGTTTTTGTATGTTACCTATAGTTTCTGCTATACTTACATGCACGCTTCAATGTATACAATGTAGGTCAGAGGCAGGGCCCGCCTTAGGCCTTTAGGCGCCCTGTGCGAGAAAGCCTTTACAGCGCCCCTCAGTGACCACACCCCTCAGTGGCCACACCCTTTAGTGGCCACACCCCCGTAACCACACTTATGTCCCCCAATATCCGCACCAATTAAGACTCTTATTTTGTTAAGCCGCAAAGAAACATATTAAAAAGTATGATAAAAATAAAACTTTTATTCAAAGGTATTAAACTTGTAGGCACAATATAAGTATTCTTATCAAATAAACCAACAGAAGGTAAACAATAAATGTCAAACTACAATAGAGTCTATACAAATAAAGTGTCAGGATGTCATGCCGATCCCTTTTTTCAAGTAAGTGCATCTAGAAAAGTAAAAATAGGAAACAGAACACAAAACCCAGACTACATGTAAAATTAATGAATTACTATTTGTCCGAATATACGAAAAATATATTCAGGTGCATAATAATTTGTTTGAGAATGTGCGGCGGCCATGTTGGCCACCGGCGTGTTCTGTGAATGCGTGCCACTATATTGGAGGCAGGGAGCATGACGTTACATGACGCCATGCATACCTGGCGCCAGGTGACGTCACACGCCGATATTGGCCCACCATCTTGGTGTATACCTAGATATACACCAAGATGGCGGCGCCCAACACGTGCGGTGTTATATGACGTCCTGCGCTACGCCTCCAGAACACGCCGTGACTGAATCCAAAATAGCATAAAAAAGTGTTTTGTTTGATGAAACAAATGAAAAAACTTTTTTCGTTTGTTTATTTCATCTGAAATTAATTTTTAGTCTTCGCACTTGTCTAATAATATGTGTGTGTGCGTGTGTGAGGGGGGGAGGGGCAGGGGGGGTTATTTTCACTTTTTTAAAATCATTTAAAAAAAAAATCATTTTTTTTCATAATGTTTTATATTTTTGTATTATTTATTTTGTACTGTCGGGGGGCTTCGGGGAAATATTAGGGGTCCAAACAGACCCCTGACATTTCCCTTTTAAAATAGAAAAGGAATTGAGGACACCAAATCCTCAATTTCTTTTTCAGCAGCCTCAGCGAATGGGAAGCACTCAGTACAGAGGCTTCCCATTCAAATATTTACTATCAGCTGTTTCTGAATGGGGAGGAGCCTCTGTAGTGAGTGCTTCTCCCCATTGAGGAAACCTTGAATGAACAGGCTGTAATGTAAATCACAGCCTGTTCATTCATAACTGGGGACACATAGTACTATGTGTCCCCAGTGATTTACAAACACTGGAGTGATCAGACGATCACTCCAGTGTTTGTCCTCCTCACACGGAGGATCGGCAAATATCAATGATATTTACCGATCTCCCGCTCTGCCAAGCAAAGAGCCGCTGTCATCCTGAAACTGACAGGATGATAGCGGCTCCGATCTCCTACCCGCTCGGCCATCCTGACCGCTGGGGGCGCGGCTTCTCTCCCCCTCACCGCTCCGCCATCCTGACAGCAGGCAGCGCTCCATCCTGCGCCCCCCCACCCACCCCCCTGAAGTAGGGGCAAGGACGAGCTGTGTCGGCCGCACAGCGCCCTTGTTGCCATGGCGCCCTGTGCGGCCGCACAGCTCGCACACCCCTAAGGCCGGCCCTGCTCAGAGGTATGGTTGTATCTATGTGCCCACCCCTTCCCTGATCCAGGGAATTCACAAAATGGATCATATGGCTGTGTGTTTTGTGAATGGTAGAATATTAGGGAGGGTTGGTGTGGAAATGTAACTGTAGCGCTGTAGTCCATGGCCCTGCGGGAGCTGTACTTCTGTGTGCACTTTGCACTGCTTTTCCCCTACTGGTGAGCTTCCCGTGCTCGGAGTCAGGCTTTAGAGAGCCTTTTATTTATTTATCCTCAGACTTTGAAACTATCGGTGCTTGAGGCTTGAGTTCTTGGGATGGCATAACTGGCCATTATAAGGGGCTCCTACTTGCTCTGTTGAAATTTCTATTTATTTTATGGAAGGGAGACTTTACTGTTGTAGTATCCAAGACAAATAAAAAGCCAGTGGGTGACGAGGCGTCATCCACTGCCTTCTTAAACAATGTTCAGTTCCTGACAAGTAACTCCACTTAAGGACACCGTAGGCAGCGCTATAAATGCCTTAAGGTGGTAGATATTGGGCAATCATCACACATTCTGGCTGTATATGGTTACATCAGGAAACAATCCACTGTCTGCAAGACCTATTTTATTTAATATATTTAAATATACCTCAGAGTAAAGTTGCAAAGTACCACATGTATACCACTGTCACCACTGTGTGACAATTGCAGTTGATCTTAGAATTTTAAAGATGTGCTAAGGGTATGAGCAGATATCTCTGTTCATCGTTCCTGGAGAGCTATATGCCCATTTAGGACCATCGATGGACATGAGGTAAATGTTGCTCAATCTGGCTTTCAATAATCAGGAAACACGTATATGTCTATGAACACACTTCAGACTCTACATGCACCTCCTGGCCAACAAGGGGGAGCGATTGTTTGTAAACGACTGCCGTTTCTCCCTAGATAAGCTAGCTTCATGGTTGTCTGCTCAATTGACAAACATGTATATTCATTGGAAACAATCTTGCATATTTATGGAAATATATTTTGGAAGATGGATCTTTTGGCAGCTGGATCTTCTAACCATCACATGTACTGTATATATGGTTAGCCTTCTAGGTTTTCTAATGCCACATTCCTCTCTGCCCTAAGCCAAAATGCAAAACTACCCTGGGCCCCATGATAATGGATTACAGACCAGGCTTGACGGGCATCTGGATAAAACTGACAGCATCACTTAAAAATGCATTGCACCTATCCCAGTTAGTACAAAAGGATAAACAAATGGAACAAGAGATACTAACCAGACAAGACACACCACTGTCTTAAAAGGAAATGGTCTGATATGGGGTGATAAAGATGAAAAAGGAAGAGAGTGTAAATCCGTACTGATTATCACTGGGTATGGTAATCACTTATCATCATTGCACTGAAGCATTTTATTAGAAATGTGCTAAATTGCACATTCCTGAAGCTTTATCACTGAAGATCTGACATACGTGAAAATTAAAAGCACAGGTAAAAATGTTTTGTGTGACAAATCAATAATAACTAGGAAGGGTGACAGAACAGATTAGTCACAAAAGAAATAGTGCTATGGGCAAAAAAAGGTTTTCTTTTTCTAATTGAATAGTAATTTGTTTTTAAATGCCTATAGGGCCATACAAATACAAAACCCAAATACAAGCTAAGAAGCAGCAAAGTTTAATTGGAGTGATTTTTTTGCACTGTTATTGTGATGGGTATGACCTAAATACAAGAAAGAATCTCTGCAATAGACAAATGCTGCATACAGAGTATTACACTTTAATACAGCATACATGTTGCATAGATCTAGGGTAGATGGTGGCCACAAGGGGACTTTTTCATCCTGTTCATCAATTTTTCTCATCACTACAGTCAAAAATGCACGTCAATTAGACCCCCACTAACATCGAACAAACCTTCCAAAAATGAATAATGTAAAATGGATTTCTATTGGTGTATGGCTAGTTTCACAGGTATAATGAAAGCTGAGGATTTTTTTGCAATAGATCTTTTGAACTTGCAGTCTATTATGTACTGAGAATATTTTGAAGAACCGATATTTTGTACGACAATAGAGGCCAGCTGACATTGGTCTGCGGACTGCAGCTGAGGGAGGTTAGATGGGCATTACAATCTCTTTACCAAAGGCATAAGAAAGAAGTGAGTGTCTGTTAGGCTATTTAATGAGATAGATGTTAAATATTTAATCTGGACCATATAATTTAACATTTTGCACCACCACCCACAATCTGCGATAGACCTCAACAACAATTTGGATCTTATGCTATATAATCTGCTCAAGTCTAAGGTGGGTCCTTCAAGAATACAAGTCTTTAGTATCTCCTTGATAAGATCTGAATAATTCATAGTAACAGTAAATCCTAATAATACTGATGAAAACCTGTGCACTTTTCTTTTAGAAAGCTTGTTGCGGTGGTGACTCTGTAGAGGAAATATAATGATCCTTTGCCTCTAATAAAAAGGGGAGAGGTGAAGTTGTATTTTTGGAAACAAGTAACTAGAGAGAGTCTTGGTTATGATAGTTGAGACAATGTGAGCGTTCATTGGTTTAAATACCTTATCCTAAACTCATAAAATCTGTACTTTTCTAGGCCAGCATCACAGACGTAGAGAATAAACCAATAGGTAATTAGATGTTAAAATCCCTGCATGTCAGGTTTGAACAGTAGCGCCTGGAGATTTGCGTCAAGAACCTGCAATAGTCTGCAAAGTTTTACAGTGTGCATTCAGCAGCTGTCTCCTCTGGATTAAAAAAGGTTTCATACATATTTTGATCCCATCACAAAGACAGCTTTTACTATAAAAGTAGGCATACTGTAAACAATGTATTGCTAAGCATAGGTACTAAGAGTAAAATAACAAAAGGTGGTCAGAGTGATAGCACCAAATAGATTCACTTATGGTTTCTCAGGATACTCAAGTTGAAGAGGTTTGCTCATGGTTGCTGAATGTTTAGACACGAATAAATTATTAAAGAAGGAACATTGAGTGATTTTCCTTTTAGTATAGTTGAAATGTACATTGAAAGTTCATTAAGTGACCTTAGCTTTTTCCTGGAATAACTTTTTTTTTAGCAGGGAAACCACTGTATGAACTCACAATTGAGCCAAATGCAAGATATTTACCAATTACAACAAGAAAGTTATAGAGAACATATGCAAGCCATTATGTATATATATACACACACTACTATTTTAATAATTATAATTCAGCCAGCTGTTGCCACATTGTTTATCACAATTGCAAAGTCAGAGGCAAGATTCTGTACAAGTTGTCACATACCACATGGTTGGGACACAGCTTGGGTAGGATCAGAGACCATGTCATCTTGTCCCTGCTTTGGAGAAAGACCCTCTTCTGGCAAACTTAAATTCACATCACTTGGCAAAATTAAAGAGTCCACATCCACAGGAAAGCCTTTGCTTGCTTCATCGTTCTGCAAGTCATTTTGGCTTTGATGCTCTTGTTTTTTGGTTTGATGTTCACCTGGATAAATATAAAATATGAAATGTGTATCAATACCTGCCAAAGCATCAAAATGGATCGAGGATATTACTATCTTAGACAGTGTTATCAAACACCTACATGGTAACTAACAAAGCACAAGAAAGCAAAGTAAGAATACCAAGTACATTAAAAAACAAACAAACAACTTGTCATCGTAGGTCTTTTCAAGCCACCTACACAACTGCCAACATTCTAAACAATTTAAGCAGGACGTACACTGATTTGTTTCTTCTTTTTCCTGATTTTCAAACCTTGGGCGTTAAGTGTTTATCCTCCAATGTGGTGAATAAAATGTATAAATAGGTTTCAATTTTATACTGAAAAGTTTAAGCAAGTTAAAAATGTTTGTATGCTATTGTTATGGTTTAGACTGTAGCATTCAAAGATGTTTTCATGTATGATAACCGTAAGCCGACAGGCAGAAAGATGCACTGCCAGTGGTGGCTTTCTGCTTGCTGTTTGGGTAGATTGGTGGCGGGTTGCCATGCCCAGCAGCAGTTGCACTGGCTTTTGATGTTATTTGATGATCTGGTTAGATCTATATAGGCGGTTTAAGGTAGATCAGTACCCTTACATGCATACCTTTATTATGATGTATTGTATAGCCTTTGTTGTATAATTGATTGCTTTTTGCAAATATTGAATGTTTTTTTTTTACTATGGGGGCAGTCCTTGACCAATACGGTTTGTGAAGGGGTCCTCAGCTGCATCGAAATGTCTCACTTTGGGGTTGTAAATGAATGTCAACAAAAGGTGTAAGGGTGTTAGCTTGTATTTTCTCCTTTTTGCACACAATATACTATGTTAGCTATATGTGGTACCTTCACTGAATCTCATGAGAATACTTGCAACAAAGGCAGGATTCTATTGGAAACAGCAAGGAGAGGAGAGCAGGGAAGTGTGCTTAATATATTTAGATCTTTGCAGTTATCATCATCTCCAAGTAAATGTATAGCTTTAGGTTGAGCTGTCCTGTAACCTTTATTCAAATCAAAGCAACAATAAAACAAATGAAATGTGGCAGAGATTATTTTTTTTAGGCTTTTATGTCTGAAATGATTTCCCAACATTCATTGTGACAGTTAAGTAGATATCACATCCATTAAATCCCTCCAGAAACATTTGCTGCAATTATAGAAAATTTGCCATGATTACTATGTACTCAGTAATGCTTATGTCTTCCACAAGACTGCAGATGGATAAATAGATTATTGAAGCCATGTAGAATTATTCTCATTTCAAGAAAAAAAAAATATATTTTTTTCTTGGAGTATATTACAGGAAGCTATACCACCTTTAGGAAATGTGGACACTGGCAACCAAAGCAGTAAGGACTGCCCAGTATAACCCCTCCCATGCATGTATCATAAGAAACGGAGGGGAGGGACCCGTGTCCTGCAATGTACTCCAAGAAAAAGATTTTATAGGCAAGACAAATCTGATTGTCTTAATTGTACATTACTGGGCTCAGAAAGTATCCAGAAATCATGGGACGTCCAAAAGCAGTGGGCAAACACAGCAAATGCTAACTACATAAACAACCAGTAAATGGAATCAGCTAGAGAGAGCTCACAGAGTCCCTAGAAGCTCCCTACCACTGGAGCTGGCATCAGATGAGGCCTGATCATCTACCTGGAAAAAAAACCCTGTAAAATACAAGTAAAGGACCTAAGCAGTTTAAAGCCACCGGCTCAGAAATTCACCCCACAGAGGTGATGACAAAGAAAAAGGCAATCTTTTGAGTGAGAGCAGACAGGGGAATACCCCCAATAGGTCAAAGGGTGGTTTCTGGAGAACTCTCTGAACCAGACTGAGATCCTAAGGTGGCACAGGGGGAGCAATGTGAATAACACCCTGCATGAGGGCTTTCACAAATGAGTGAGATACAAACAAACAGTATTTTAAGAAGAATCACTAAGGCCAAGTAGAGTCAGCCAGAAAACTGACGAGCTCAGAGTACCATGACCTCCTATGCCAGTCTGGTGTAATATGAATCACAGGATTTGTACTTGCACAGCGTACAGGGGAGGAAACAGAGAATGATCGGGACGAGAAGGTAATGTCTTCCCCTGCCTGCCCTTAATGATAATAACTGCCGGGCTGTGGCGGCATCACTGGGGCTGGGGGGTTTATGCCATCAGTGCTCCACTTCAGGGGGGCTGGGGGGTTTGTGCCATCAGTGCTCCACATCCCTGAGGGTTAAAGCATGCCACTGCTTTACAATCCAGATAGTAAAACTGCAAAAAGGTCTGCTCCAGGGACCAAACATTACATTAAAATGTGAATTGAAAATAAGCAGAGAAATGAAGTTGTGACTAAGAGGAACCAATAAGAAAACCAAACAAAACATTATATGTCTATTTAGATTGGTTGCTGAGGGACAGAACTGCAATTGTGTGCTTTGGTTCTTCTCTTCATTTGTGTATAGCTTCTTATGATAAGAGAATACCCTTACAAAGTGTATCTATAGCCCAAACTTTTTTTTTGTTTATTGCCATGTTGGGACATGGAAGGTTTTGGAAGAATTCTCTGGGTCCTGGTCTCACTAAGGTTGAGAACCACTGCTCTGGGCAGTGGGGCATGCATGTGCCTAGTCAATTCATCAGTAAACAGAATATCTAAAAATGGTGCGAGCATGTGCAGTACAATTGCCAAAGAGGGCTGGCTGAGCAGACTCAATAGGGGCTCCTGGCTCGTGAGATAATTGAACACCAATGATACATAATATGCCACTATTATTGAGGGGGATGCAGAAGTGAAAGCACACACCCAGGCGCATCTAACGCACCTGTCTAACCCAACGCATTGCACAACATGCCAAAGGGAGCACCTAATGCCAATCCAGTGCCCGACAACATTACAGGCTGGCCCCGCATCTTCTTGCCGGTAGAGTCCTGGTACGGTCCCGCAAGGTACAGCGGAGGAGTCAACCGATTGGGAAGCTGCAAAAATCAGCAACAGTGGCTATGTAGGAGCTGGGAAAGATTTTGGTAAAAGTAACAAAAGAAATAAGGAAAAGTGGTTTGCGTTTCTCAGGCATCTGTTCTCCTAAGCAAACTAGCAAAAAACTGACGAATGTTGGGAGTGGGAAGGATTAGAAGTACAGTCCCGCAAGGCACAGTGCAAAAATTAGCCACAGTGGCTATGTAGGAGCTGAGAAAAAAATCTTGGTAAAAGTAACAAAAGAAATAAGGAAAAGCGGTTGGGTTTTCTCAGACATCCATTCTCCTATGGACACTAGCAAAAAGCACACAAATGCTGGGAGTGGGAAGGATTATACTGGGTAGTTCTTACACATTTGGTTGCTAGTGTCCAACTCTCCTACATGGTTTCTGAATACCACCCTGAGTAAAGTACAATTAAAGAGGAACTTCATCTTAAAAATTACAACATAAATGTTTATAAATGTTTAGTAATGGCAATCTACAAACAGGTACTTTTAGATTGTTGCAGGTTTTTTTTATAATTTACAGATTAATCCATCCATCTCCCTTTACTTCCTGGAACTCTGACTAGAACATGTGACCGTGCACATCATCTGAATCGAAAAAATGCCTTGCCCTGAAATCTTGCGAGATTTTGCAGTTTACACATGAGATTTCCCAGTAATGCACTGCTGATGTAACCTTCTCAGAATGCATCTTTTAGGCCAGGATTACATCAGTAATGCTGAAGAGGACCAGGAAGTGGAACAAGAGAAATTGTAAGAAAAAGCAAAACATGTTTTTTTTAACTAATGATTGTAAGATGATATCATATTAACATGCAGAGCTTCATGCTGAGGTGATTTTAGTGAAAGGGGGTAAAGGTCCTCTTTGATAAATAATGTTTAGAGACTTTTTGAAAATGATTTTTAAAAGATATATGTGACAGAGGGCAGCCAGAATGCTTTTGGGGCCCCCAAGACACATGGGGTTGTCACCCTTTCTGTTTTTAGTCATCCAATGTCTATGGGTACTCTTATTGGTTATGAGGTATGAAACAAACTAGATTTAACTATACATAAACATGTAAATGATCCGTTTTAGTCTATTTTCAGTACTACAATACTTAAAACGCATGCACAAAAAAAATTAAAAAAAACAACAGGTAATCATCCTTTACCAGTTAACTTCAGGATTTCTAATAGGTGTTAAAATGAACGTAAAGCCCAAACTTTTTTTTTTTTTTTTGATAGCATGGTTATTTTGTGCTGGTTGTGTACCAATGGGGAAAACATTCTCTTCACTCCCTATCCCAGAGATGCAACAGGAAGTTAGAGGAAATCTCCCAAAGTCTGAGGAATTCCCCCTCTTGTTCTGGGGACAACTCTAAAATGTTTGATTTCCCCTCATTTTCTTTCTTAGTGGCAATGGTCACAAGTACCTATCCCCAATGGGAACATGGACAACAAGAAAAACTTGAGAGGGTCTAACCCTTTCAGTCTAAAGATACTTAAATACACACTATTGTTCCTTGCACTATTTAATAGAGTTTAGTCCTCAATCATCAATGTTCCTTACCGCAGAGTTGGCCCTCAGTCTCGTCAGAAGTGGTGAATATGGAAACCGTGTCTAAGGAAGCCGGATTTTCGGCCATAGGATCTCTTTGTGCAGAAGGTGAGATTAAAGTGTCCATGTCCACAGACGAACTTTTGCATGGTTCCTGGTCCTCTGACGGTGTTTCCTTTTCAACTTGTTTGGGGTGAAGAGTACCTACAAATCAAAGTGTTTACTGAGCGTTAGTGTTTTTTTTTTTTAACAAAATCAGTCTGCCCGGTACATAAACACACAGAGGTGGTCCACACCAGCAAAGGCAATTCTGAACACCACCTCGTTTATAAACATTGGTAACTAGCAACCCATCAAACACCGTACAATATACAAAAATCTGATTGCTTGCAATGAACACCACAAAACGTCTACTCTCAGACAACCTTATACTTGATCAGTTTGATTTTAACATGAATAGCAAACCTATCTTATTTTTTATTAACACCGGAAAGTTATGATAAAAACAGACAAGGCCCAGATGACCGGCCTCTGTGATCACAATCATTACGTTAGCAGTTAATAGTGCCAACCAATAATACCATCACATATCAGCACTTCATAATATAAAACAGTAAAAGGCTTTTACGTGCCATCACCTTCACAGAGCCCGCTGCTGAATATATTTGCATGTGCTGTAATGTAAAAGGGAAGCTTTTGAGAAAGGCACAGCAAATAAAACAAATGCTTCATTTTGTCAGTTTACCATCATAAGGCTTTGGAGCAAACAATGAGCAGCAAAGTAGGTATGGAAAGCAGCTAATGTTTTGCTTTTTCATGTTTAAGTGATCAAAGTTTTGGTGTGTGTTGAATGATGCTTGGCTACATCGCTTTACTGTATGCTTGTTATTATGACAGCCTTAAGTCATTATGCTGTGGTAGAGTTAGACATTACTCTTCGTGAACTTCTGAGCAGCTGAAGAAAAGAAAGAACAGGCAAGAACGGAACTAAAGATGTAAAGCATAACTATACTTCCTTAACAACAAAAAAAAAACATAAAAAGCTGCGTCTGTCAAACTTAAAGTGCAACTCAAGTCACAAGCTTGTTTTTACAAAAAGTAGTTTTGGGCCTCTGTATGGTTTCCATACTGGGGAGATTCACACTTCCTGTGTCTCAGTGTCAATGGTTACAGAACTATGAAGGGGGGGGAATCCCTCCATATGAGAAACTGCGATAAACATACTTACTTCTAGTACAAAGAGAAATGACGAGTACCTCTTAGGTCTTTATTACCGATTGTGTCCCCTTTTGGAAAGATTCTCCTCACTTCCTGCACAGTGATGATGGTACAATAACCAGAAAGTGTGGGTTAATTTCCCCACATTTTAAGTTCACAAACAGCAATGCAAACCAAAGTTTCTTTCTTTTCTCCAGTATGGAAAAAAAGAAATGTGGCTGCTATTACACTTCATATCTGCCACAATAACATTTATTTACATAGGATTAGCACTCAAGCAGGCATTTAATGTCACCCTTGTAAAATACACAATCTAAATTTACAGAACCAAGCAGCGTTCACCCTTTGTAATGTCCTGCTCTACAACCTTGAATCTGCTAGTAAATGGTAGACTTCTGAATGTCTAGTTGGCTAGTTTAGTCTTCCAGGTGCTTAAGCCAGCCTCTTACCACTAGTGGCTTGCAGCATCTCAGTCTGGAGCTGGAGCTGTGCTTCACCCAGCATCTTCACAACTGATTCTGCTGGACTCTTCCCCCATGCAGGTCTCTGGCGATCTCCGTCATCTAGTTTTATTACACCACCAACTGTAAGATCTAAAAGAGAGAATGCATGATAACTAAAGCATATCTCTTATGTATGCAAATGTCACATTATGAAAAAAGTATATGTGTTTTACTATAAAATAGTCCAGCAAGGCTGTCACTTCCACCACAAAATTAACAAGAATCATTTAAAAGCAAACTGCCAAAAGACAAAGATATGGAAGCCAATGCTGCCGATTAGGTCTTTAGATGGGTTCACACCTAGGCGGATTGAATATGCACGTTTTTCGCGTGTTTTTTTTACCGCGATTCGCGGTAAAAAAACCGCGCGTTTCCGAGGGATGCTTGGCTGTATCCCAATGGAACCGCCCGACCAAAACGCCCCAAAGATGTACTTCTTTGGGTGTAGGACGGTTTCCCGCACGTTCGTACTCGCGGAAAACCGCCCAGATGGGAACCATGCACATTGAAAATAATGGCATGTCCCTGTTTGAGCGTTTTTCCGCGAGTACGAAAGCGCGGAAAAACGCCTAGGTGTGAACCCAGCCTTAAGTTGCAAGGCTGTCTCGGCTATCTCAAAGACTGGGAGTCCGCTATTCACTGGGAAGATGCGTAAGAAAGAGAATGGCTCTGGAATGCGCACACTGAAAAATAATGTCACGTCCTATTTCTCTGTCCTGATAGGTTGCTTCAGCAGGCCAAACTATTTGGTGAATACAGCCCACTGAGGATGCATGTTCTCTGTAATCTACAAAACAAAAACTCATTAAAACTCAATCCAGTATTAAGAAACTACTTTATTTTGGATGGACACCAGTGGTGGTGGCATCTTATACTTGAGCAGCTTGGTAGGGTAACCAACACTTCCTATCAATCCAGCTCTTGCTTACCATACCTGATTTTAAGCTGTGACGTTGGCAACAGATATTCTAAAGCAGGGGTCAAAATTTCAAGTCCTGAGCTACTAGCCAGGCTTTAAGAGTTACTCGCCACCAGTTGCCCACCTATCTAAAGGATACATTAGGTGGAGTTTAACTGCACAGCTCCTCATAAAACCAAGTAAAAGAAGTTATAGCCCTCTGCAAGCATCTATATTTTTTTTACCCTTTATACTGTAATAAAAAATAAAAAAAACAGCGCTTTTATACTCACTGTAAAAATCACAAGATTCAGTGACATTTGGATTATACTGCCGCCTACAGGAGTATATGTACAATGGCAAACCAAAAACAGTGACAAGCCTGGTAAAAAAAAAAACCCTCCCACTCCCATCATGCCTTCATTTTGAAACAAAGGAATGCCACGAGCAAGACCATAAACAAGGGTTGGGACCTGTGTCCCTAAATGAACTTGAGAAAAGGATTTTACAAAGAGTACAAAAATCCTATTTTCTTTTTCGTTTATGGAAGGAGACAAGATTCAGTGATGTCCAAAAGTAGTCTAAAGCTGCCCATACACCTTGCGATCATCAGACAAAACTGTTCGTCTGATGATCGAACCGTTATACGATTTTCATATGGCGGCCCCATCCTGCCCAGATTATCGCAAGGTTCAATCAGCAGTAATTAAAAAACAAAAAAGCACCTGGACGAATATTTTTTTTGGCGCATGAGCAGTGTAAATGGTATAAATTTTGACGTACGGAAATGCCACCTACCATGCGAAAATCGTACGAACGACCAAAGTTTTCTAACCTACTGGTTAGTCAAAAGTCGATCGATTGTACAGTATTTGCGGTTGTACACTGCCCATCAATCTTACGAGTATCGGATGAAAACACAATTACATACGAAAATCGTCCGATAGTCGTAAGGTGTATGGGCAGCTTAACAAAGGGGCGGACAACACAGCACACAAAATAATAACAAGCCCAACTAGAAACTAACTAGGTACTGCCAGCAGCTCAAAAAGCTTCTTGGAGGACCTTACAACAAAAGCTGGCTTCAGAAGATGCCGGAACCACTACCTGGTAAAACTTTGAAAACGTGTAACAGAAAACCAGGTGGCAGCCTTGCAAATCTGGGAAAAACAGTTGCCTGATGCGAAAAAGCCTAAAAAAGCAATCACAGATCTAGTAGTGTGAGTCTTGACAGAGCAAACACCTCTGAGGCAGCTGGTATGGGCTAGTGAAACCAGTCAGGTGTTATGTCTGGACATGCATGGATGCTTAAGAGACTATTAAGGACAGCATGGTGGATGCCTTTACACTGTCTGGACACTGAACTTTGGAGACTATGTTCCTAAAAAAAAATGTTTTCATGTATAACTGAAGGCATGCTGAAAGACTGTATTTACGGGTAGCTTTCCTTCCCATGCACTTCTATACGATTAAACAATTGTGGAACCGCGCTAAGGACTAACTAGCAATCAAAAACAGACGCTGTATAGGAACACCCTAATCAGATATCTAAATTTGGCACTGCGCTCAAGAATATAATAGAAAAAATGTGTGCATGACAATATACACACTGTATGTATGTAAAGTGTAGAACCTGATTCTTAGGACCATAAGATTGAATGATGATTGACTGGGAGGGGTAATACTAGTGTTTCATGGGAGTACAGTATTTCAGGTAGCTGCTGGCAGCTTACTTTCACCTGCATATAAAGTGTCCTCTAAAAGAGTAAGTTGCGAGAGAGGAATCACAGGAGGGGGTTCAGGCTGCCATTTCTTCCGATCGACAGATACTGGCTCCCCACTCTGATAAGGATCCTCCATATTCACTTTCTGGGCCTTCTCCTCGACATCCTTGAATACACATTCCTCTTTTTCCTGAGCTTTAAGGTTCTTATTTAATCTCTTAAGTATTTGACGTTTTTCATCCTAAAATAAAAAGAATTACACAATGACTAGCCCATGTTCCAACATTTCTATTTATTATAAGATGCATACACCGTTGTAAATATAGTTACTTTATGTGTCATTATTTATTAACCGTTTTGTTGCGGGGTTGACCTTATAAAGTTTGCATGAAACACGCAGATTGAAACACATTATGGGCCTGAAAATGTAATAAAGGCCATACAAACTGAATATCTACTAAAATCAGATTACCAATACTTTTGGATAGTATTAGTGATATTATATTTTCTCTGGTTATTGTTAAATCAAAGCTACATATAAAAAAAGAACAAAATAATTTGAACGCACAAAAACAATATAATCTGACAGTTCCATAAATATTAAAGAAGAAACAGCCAAGTTAAAAAAATAGCATATACAGAAACATTGGAAAAATAGGATGTTTGCCTTATCTGTAAAATAATTTTTTTGGAGTACATTATGGGACACAGGAGAAGTAGTCTGGAACTTTAGGTTATGCCGCTGACTCCAGGAGATGGAAAGCTTGCAATCAGGAGCTATAAAAGGACAGTCCAGTAGAACCCTTCCCACTCTCAACAAACCTCAGTTTTGTAGCAATAAAGAATAGGAGTGGACCATAAGAAACAGAGGGGAGGGACCTGTGTCCAATAATGTACACCAGCAAAAGGGTTTTACAAGTAATTAAATAAATCCTATTTTCTTAATCATACTTTATGGGACACAGGAGATATTTTCTGGAACCTTAGGACATCCAAAAGCAGTCCAACTGAGTGGTGGGCAACACAGCAACGAATTGCTAACAGGCCCAAGAAAATCAACAAAACAACAGAGAGGGATCCATAGCTTACAGAGCCTTATGATTTAAGCCAGGATCTGCCTAGGCCTGGATGTCCATCTGTCTAGCGACAGTTGAATGGGAAATCCTTGCGATATTGATCAAAAGCTGAGCTTCCTCTGACAACCAAGTCCCTTGTAGCGAGAAAGTACCCAGGACTACTCTGCAGCATGACAGGTTTAAATCAGTTGTGAGCACCATCCAGACCATCGAGAGGAAGCTATTTCCTGCACTAGAACAACGTGAAGAGCTGCTCACCTTTTGACAACATAAGCAGGGTGGAAGTAGGGATCAAAATTCTAGCTTATTGCCCCTGGACACAACGTTGTGCACCCAAGTGCCTGAAATGTCCTGGGATCAGATAGCTGCAAAGGCTAACAGATGCCCCCTTATTGAGAGGGGGCTTTTACGGGTCCAGGTCTTGGTACTCGGTGGTCCAGGACTTATGGCAGGAATGAGTTCCAGACTTAGACTTAAACCAGGAGGCTTGAGAGAAACTAAAGGAAAAAAAAACTTTTTTTTTTTGTCTCAGGAGCAGGAATTTTATCCCCTGGAGTTTTGGCCTTGTTTTTCTGGGGCAAAAGGGTACTCCCCCCATGACTTTACTGATTAAGGCATCCAAGGATTTGCCAAAAAGGCCCACAGCAAAGGGCATACACACAACACATTTATTTAATGGAATCTACTCAGATCAACATTTAACCAGTTGACATCCGCGGTGTTAAACCCCCTTCCCATCCAGGCCATTTTTCAGTATTCAGCGCTGCGGTACTTTGACTGACATTTATTCCGTCATGCAGCGCTGTACTGAAATGAATTTTATACCCTTTTTTGGGGACAGATAGAGCTTTCTTTAGTTTCCTCCACATATGCACCAAAAGGAGACCTATTTTGGATATTTAGCAAATTGTATTCACATACCTATTGACACAATAGCGCAGGGACACAAACAGGAACTCCAATTGTTGAAGGACAGGCTATCTTTTAGTATAAATTCAGGATCCTGATCCATGGCTTTGGACCAGACAGCTAGAGTCTGGCAGACGGACATGGTCGTAACAGACGGTTGCAAAGCAGGGCCTACAAGGAACAACAAGGCCTTGCATAGGGCTCCTAGACTCTTATCTGCAGGGTCCCTAAACACTGCACTGTCCTCTACAGGGATAGTTAAAATCTTGTTAACACATGAATTGGCTGGGTGTACACAGCCCACTTTAGCAAACCCCCTTTATAAGATATTGCTGGGCAAAATATTTGGAAGGGATGAATATATCTTTTCAGAACGAGGCCAGATACCATGCAAGACAGGCTTTGAAAGCGAGTGTACAGGGAATGTTTTAGCAAGGTTAGGCATTTTCTAAAAGCCCACACTGCTGACCTTTAGCAAGGCTGATGCAGGTTGCTGTAGGTCCAGGCGCATATCCACTGCGTCTGGATAGGCACACTGTGCATGCATGCTCCATACTCGAACACTTATATGGACCTGACTGGACCTCTCTTTGCCACTCCTACACTGCAAATGCAGTGATCTCCTTGGGTGTTCCTAGGCCCTCTACTGTACTATACAGTGATGAGTTACAGAAGGGTAAACCCCTCCTCCTCTGCAGTGTCTGTCACAAGTATCCCTACTGGGAGTTCATCACATACTATTGCAGATCATAGGTGCACTATAAGTTTGCCAAGCAAAGCAAAAAATAAACAAACAAACATGCTTTTTCTTAAAGCTCAACTCCTGGAATGATGTATGCTTTAAACTTACATTGGGCCAGCTTTGTTATATGTAATTATCCATGTGTCATATCCAGAGGGCTGCTGGGGATGCTGAAATTCACCCCAATTGTCTGTGCTACATAGTCATTGCTATCCTGATCTAGGTGATGCTGGAGCAACTTGATGTCTCTACACTAAACTTCTGCAGCCAAACTGGGATAACACCATTTTATATTTGATACATGTTCCCATTCACATCACGTAAGCTAAGACAATATTTTAAAAAATGCATCTTGCATTTTACTTGTTCAAACTACTACTTGGTTTATCTTTTTTGTAATGTTAGGAGGGGTGTGTGTTAACCCGATTTGTACTGTGCTGTCCAATTTCGTTATAAATTTGTAAAGTAAATTTGAACAGCGTCCTAACAAAGGGTTAACGGATTACAAGTCTGGCTTCTACATTATATGTTAGAGAATCAAATTCCACACATTTCTGTCCTCAGTCTTTCTATAAGGCAGGTCACTGTAAAAGGTGACCAGAAGAACTTGGATTCAGCCAGCAAAACATCTAATGAGGTCAAAAAAATCCTTGTCGGTATGCTTGTGTGAATAGGAGCATAAAACGAACATATAGGAGGGGTTTTCTCCAATTTGAATGCAAAAGTGGAACTGCACTTTAAATTTGAACAGGATCCCCAGTGAAAAAGGGGCTAAAACAACTGCAACATTAGTCTGACTGACATTAATATGGTAGTGGTAAAGTAAAGGGAGGAGCTCTAACCTGGATTGAGGCTTCTGTTTTTTGGGGGTCTTCGGTGATGTCCCTGATTTCTGTCTCTACATTAACCTTTCATGAGAAAAACAAAGAAACACATTTCAGAAGAAAACTTGTCTAAACAGAGATATACTACTGTGTTCCTGTGTACAGTACACGTTTAGTTTATGAAAATAATGTATTCTGAGCTCAGTTCTGCATTTGCATTCAATGAAGACTAAGGCACAGGTAACCTCCATCATTTTTTTAAGTTGTAAACTTGCATAAAAGTGAATGATATTTTTTCCTGCAAACTAGTCACCTTATTCAAAGAGTGTTTTCTATCTTTAGTAATACATTTTAGGGGCAATGATCCAGAAAAACTGATTAGAATCTACCTTGTGGTGTTCTGACTTCATCAGTAACCTATGAATTACTGCACTTAAGGACTAGCACTTGCGACCTTGTTACTATACTTAGGTTTTTCAAATCAATGCATAACTGTAAAAGAAGACTGTGAATATTCACCTTTCCTGCTGCCCGTGCCATGAAAGCTGAAAAATGTATATTCAAAGTCCGCAGGGAAACCAACACTTCTAGGAGTTTGAATCTCCTGGGCTCTCAATGGTTCCTACTGCTGATCTTCGTGTCAGTGCAGGAGAGATTAGTGATGTGGAGGTGACATTAACATTTCTCTGAATTAGAATGGCATTCAGCAGCGCAGGCAGCAGGAAAGGCGAGTATTCATAGTCCTCTTTTACAGGTATGCCTTTGAAAGAATAGTGACAGGGTTCCTTAAAGGATCAGTACTTAAGTATAAGAAATCCTTTGTTAATAAGACTGTGTATGTGTAAAAGGTTCCAAATACTAATTAAATTGCTAAAAAATGCACAGTATGCTAAAACAAATTCTAACAGTAAAATCTGAGGGCAAACATGATCTTGTGATGGTGACGTAAACTTACGGCTCCTACATTCCTCAGTGCAGAGGTCATAGAGATTGCTGGTGCACTTGGTTTTATATGAGACTGCCCTCTGACTGGAGAACCCCCAATATCTCCATGGATGGCATGGCTGGGAGAGCCAGGAGCTGCTCCACCTGCATTAGAAGGCACATTAGGATTCTTGAACCCACGAGCTGCCAACTGCAAAATTAAGGAAAACAAATAAAGACATTAGAACTACAAAATGTATTAACTTATCTGTTGTAGCCCAGCAGATAATACATATATTACCTACGAGAATCAGGTAAATAATAGGGCACACTGTCCCTTAATGTATCCATTAAGCCTTTGGATTATACTGGCTCCCACAGGAAGATTTGACACTGGC